CCAGGTTATTCTTATAGGGGTATGCTTTCTCACAAATGTCACACTTGAAGGGTTTTTCACCCGTGTGTACGTACTTGTGTTCCTTCAATTTAAATTCTGAATAAAATCCCTTCCCACACACACCACACATCACCTTGAACTGCCGCAGGTGCCTCTTATGGTGAATCTCAAGGTATGCCCTTTGAGTGGTAGCATAGTTACAAATATCACATACATGATTTCTAGCCTCAGTGTGAATCTTTTTGTGTAATGTCACTTCATACTGCCTCTTAAACTTCTTCCCGCACACATCACACGTATGTGGTCGTTCCTCGCTGTGAATAACCATGTGACGTGACAACAGTTTCTTCGATGCAAAAGTTTTGCCACACAGATCACACTTGTAGTCATCCTGCCAGTCACAGTGTTTAACATGGCCTTCATACTGTAATGTTTTCCTAAACCTCTTACTGTATGGGAGATGTCCATGTAAAACAAATGCTGCTCCACACTCCACAGATTTTTCATGAACTTGACTGATTGCTTCAGTTGTACACCTAGAAAGAAACATCCTGTGTATTTTACTTCAAATCACTAGCCTATATATTGCACAAAGAAAAGCAACACTGCTCTAAACACATCTCTGCCTGCTGTGCAAAAAGAGTTCCACAGCCACACACCTTCCACCAAAATACAAAAGTGCATGACAGTACTTGCTTTTAAATACACCACACAATAGATGCAGGTGACCCAATTTTCCAGAATGCTATGGAATATCAATTATAAGATTCTGTTAAAAACGTTTTATCAAATAATGCACCAAACCTCCCATCTCATAACTACTATATCAATTTCTTGACAAAAGGTAACTTTGGCCAATGACAGAACACTATCATACCCAATTTTATGTTTCAAGGAAGTAATGTATCTTATAAGACAGCAATGTCTGATGATATTTACAAAGCAATTCTTTATTTTTGTTCTACAGTTCATGAATGCATAATTGCAATTTCCATGTCAGGTAACCATGTAACTTTTGAGTCGACACACAATTCACATAACTCCCACATAAATAAGAAGCCCCAACGTTTATCGTCTTGTTACCCCTCAAGTCACCAAGTAGTTGATGACGGAAACACTACGAAGTCATTCACATGAAAAGGATTAAGCATCTACTTCTGCCAAAACTAAGATTAGAATTAAATTATGGTAAATCACTACAATTAAACACCTTCAAAATAATTAAGGCAGCCATCTGAAGAGCATCTTCATCATATTTTTCGTACAGCACTCCCCTTTCTAACACAGTGGCATGTAAAGCTATCACAACAGTATGACTCTCTTCATAAACCTACAGAACAGACTGCCAGGATTATTGCTGTGGGCATCAATATGTGAGTTTCAAGACTGATTACCCTGTAATTCTCATAAAATAGTCTCTCCCTTCTACACACCTGTCTTAAAAACATCAAGTTACTGCAAAACCAGATATTTCCAGTTGCATCAGAAACTGCAGTTACAAAAAGACTGAAAGCCAGAAGTTCAGTAAAGAAGTCTGTTCCTTTGTTACAGCAGCAATGAATTCATTGCAGCAGCATTCAAATTTAAGGAAACATTCTTCCAGGCACAGCAGAGACCCTTATAGTCATGCTTTATAATGCAGGAAATGACACACTCCACACAGCAATCTCCCTCCTCCTCCTCACCTGCAAAATGGTTCCTGTTCACCTTTCTCCTTCTCCAACACCATCAGCCATTCTTTGTAAATATTATGACAATGTTGTCATAGTATTCTTTGTATTCTTTCCATTTAAACTTAGTGTGTATTCAAATTATAGTTTATATGCACAAATAAGAAATCAAACACACCATTCTTTGTACAAGTATCCAATAAAAACTGAATTGTTGCCTTCCATCTGAAGGCCATGAACAGACTCCCTGAAAATGATAACATGGTATGTAACCATTCCTAAACTTTCAATACCTGCAGGAATGTATTATGGTTCAATGATTTACCACATAAACCTTAACTCCAACTTGCAGAAACATCATTTGACTCATTCAAGGTTTATTTTCTGCATAAATGCAAGCAGCAATTTTAATTCACTTTATCACTAATACAAAATTCAGTAGAGTGACAAAAGATCCAACAAACAAGAGATTCGTTCATTATTCTGAAGTGTAAACAATACAGCAGAAGGATGAGTTACATACAGAAGTGAAGCATGTAGTGCTATGCAAAATGGTAATAAGGATCACCCCCACTACAACAATGCTTACATAGACCTAGTGCAGCACTTTTCAAATTCTTTCAGGCACCACATCTCCTGCACTTTACCTCACATTACATGCACATGCTTCACATACAAATGACAAATGGCAGTGCAACAACACCCAAATATCTGACACAAAATTCCTTCGTTACAACATTAATTTACTATCAATATGATCAAATTTGACTTCAAAATTCCGATTAAGTGGATTATTCCACCACAAACAGTGTTTACATTTTCATTCCATGCTTTAGAGTCCAGCCTATAGTGTCCATGACAAAATTTCCAGTATGATGAAATGTCCGTAGCAGGAAAAAAAAAGTTCAAAGTAAAATGTTCAAACATAAAATCCAGTGTAGCAAAATATCCAATGAGTGAAAATCCAATAAGGCAAAATATGCAACACAGCCTGGATGTCACATATCACAAGTCTCTTTATAACCACTATTAAGGAGGTTGTCCTATAATCAAAACACAAAACATGAAGTACATGGTCACGACTTGTCAGCTAAATGCATGAAGAAACCTTATAGACTGGCAGTTAAATTATTCAAGTATAACACAAGCTTGAATATTTGGAAAAACAAAGGATTGGTTACATTCATCGGAACACACTGCATTCTCAAAATGCAGTTCAGAACCTTTAGTCTTCAAGCGTTCTGTCTAAGAACATAAACATTAAAACACAAACAACTACTATTTGACATGTCGCTTTGAAAAGGTGTGAAACTTGCTTTCTAGCCTTATGGAAAGAATAAAAGATTAAGGGCATCTGCAACTGAAAAATTCATAGACCTAAGTCAGTGAATTTCATAATTCAATCATCTCTACCAACTTCATACCACAATATACAAAGTTGTGTTACATAAAAATGTATTAACAAGACTAACAAAAGGAGCAGATTATTGCTGTATTAACATAAAAGGTATTTTGATCATACAAGCACTGTTCCAGACATTTACATTTTTTTATATTCCTTCCAAAATTATTAGGTTCTGGACAATGACTTTGCACATTTATACACAATGAAATATTTCCACATGCCATCCAAGTACATGAAGTTATATTGCATATTTTGATATTTTATATTCTACCTTATTTCCCCAAATACACTTCAGGACATTTCTGTTTATAGTTTTCTTGCAAACATTTAGCTAATTCAAGCAAGAAAATAACCAAAATCTAATATACTTTGATATGTAAGTATACTGTGGTAGGATAAATAACATGAAATTATTTAATAACTAATGGAATGAAGTTGTTCAACACCAAAGTTTAATAAAAATGTCCCGTGCCTCACTTGATTCTTCACTGCGCTCCACCATTGGTGGACAAATCTCAGATGGAGAAACAATGCTCTAATATATCATATAAAGGATAACCAAAAATATTCCTCCTGCAATAGAAAGTGTTTAACTAAAGAAATAAATACATATCATCTCATCTCATAAAGAAATAAAGTATAAATTGGAAATAAATATCCTACGACCCACTAAATTTTATGAATCGTAATTGCTACGACTGGAAACCAGATGCCTGTCCTACATACTTCTTCTTATTACGCCATCTTCTTGCGAAGGTTGGCGATCCAAATGGCCAGCGTAGTTTCGTCAGCCATTAAGATAATTTGGGAAAAATAGTACAGTAGAAGTACCGTTTCCTTTCTGAACCGCAGTGCAGAAACCGTCTGGGCTGTTACAGCTACACCTTCCAGTACTCAATACTACGCCGCTTCGGAGTCATTCTTCCCACGCCGCAGTTTGATTCTGGTGAAACTACTGCCCTCCATCAGTGATAGATTTTTGTCCACAACGAGTATTTGATTTCCTCGGTACCACCCATATCTGGGAGGCTTTCCCTGATCTGCCATCTGGGGAGGCACCCAATGGAAGATCTAGCAAACCCCACATACAGTAATGCAAATTACATGTTACCAAACTGATGCCATAATGAAACAATTTTCATGTCTTACATGGATATGGAAAATGATTTCCTACCTATCTTGACAAAATTAGTATTACACACCATGTATTTTTTGGTGACTTTTCAAGAGTGTTTTTGATACAAATCCTTTAATGCATACATGGCACTGATATGGCCTCTGCCCACTGTGGTATCTCTTGTGAACTACAAGAGTTGAACGCTGGGTGAACAACTTCCCACACTGTTCACACTTATATGGCTTCTCACCGGTGTGGGTACGCTGGTGTATGCGCAAGTTGCAACGTCCACTGAAAGCCTTGCCACACACATCACAGATAATCGGTTTCTCCCCACTGTGCAACTTTCTGTGAGATTTCAGTGAATCCATACTTGACACAGATTTGCCACATATGTCACAAAGATAAATGTTCTGTCCTGTATGAGATGCTATGTGAAAGAGCAAAGACTTCTTGTATGCAAATGTCTTACCACAAACATCACACTGATTCAGCTTCACATTCTGTGATAAATCAGGATGGTGAGTGCGTCTATGCTGAGTTAAGTTATTCTTATACTCATAAGCTCTGTCACAAATATCACAGCGGAACATTTTCTTCCCCATGTGTGTAATTTTATGCTCCTTCAACTCCCAGTTTGAATAGAATCCCTTCTCACACATGTCACATTTCACCTTGAACTGACCTAGATGTCTCTTCTCATGAAGCTCCAAGTATGCTTTATGAATTGTAGCATATCCACATATATTGCAAATGAAGTTCTTAGCCCCAATATGAATCTTCTTATGTTTCTTTACCTCATAAAACTGCTTAAAGCTTCGACTGCAAATTTCACAAGAAAATGGCCTCTCTTCACTGTGACTTCGCATATGACGCTTCAATCTTTGTTTGGACTGGAAATCTTTCTCGCATGTATTACACCTGTAGTCTTGTTTAACAGGGGGGTTTTTGATGTGTAGCTTCAGGTCTGTCTTGCATGGAAAGCTGTCAAAAACACCAAAAATAGGAGCCTTGGCACTGACATGTAACAAACATGCCCCACAGTTATGAAATGGGTTCCCACATTTTGGGTTTGAAACATTTATTTTCTTGCTGAATGTTGAGCTCCCATCATAATTACATGATTCACATGATGACCTAGAAAGAAGAGAAGCTGAAATGATTCCCTTGATTTTATTGTTGAGCTCTTATCATAGCACTAACAAATACTGTTCCCTTCAATGTGCACAGCACGAAAGAACATTAGGACATTAGGTCTTCGTATTGCTCCAAGAATGAGAATCAGCAGTAATGAAATCTCAATCCAGATAAACATATTTACAGAACTCATAATCCAATGCTGCA